TTCTTTCTTTCTTTCTTTCTTTCTTTCTTTCTTTCTTTCTTTTTTTAAGACTTATTTATTTGAGAGAGAGAGTGTAAGGGAGGGGACACGGAGAAGGAGAGAGAGTCTCAAGCAGACGCCACACTGAACACAAAGCCCCACATGGGGTGCGATCTCACGGCCCTGAGGTCATGACCTGAGCCAAAACCAAGAGTCGGATGCTTAACCAACTGCACCATCCAGGTGCCCCAAGACTCACTCTTCTTAGTCTCTACTAATTTGTAAGCATAAAGATTTATTCTGTTCTTATTATCAACTATCAGAAATAGTCCAAATCCAGGCCTCACAAAGATCTTAATTCATCCCCTTCCCTCAAACTTGCTAGGAGCCTAGAATGCACTCGGTGAAAGGAATACTGTATCATAATTTGGAAGAATTTGGCCTGGTTATGAAACTAAAGCTAGGTTCAGGTATTGAAGAGAAATGAATTCCAAAGAGTCAGTGGCCTTGGGTGGAATAAAATTTGTATAAATGTAAGTAAATGCATAAATAAAGCATATACATAAATACGTAATAAGATACATAATAAGATCTGTGTAAACATAAGTAAATCAGCACTTCGACTAGACCCCCTGTCCCCTAGGCACTCAAGGCTATCCACCCCCAGCCACATGCAGTGCCTCCCTCACTGCCTTCAAGGGCTCTTTCTTAGACACATGGAGCATGGGTGCAATAAGTCTGCAAAGATGCTGGCAACTCTCACTGCTGTTTTCAGGAGGTACGGCCAGGAAGTAACCCAAGCATAATAAATTGTGCAGAATGACTCCATTACTCAGCACCATGAGGATTTAAGCATATTCAATCACTAGATAACTTTGGTTGCCCAGAAAAGCTCACAAAAAATGTTAAATCTTTTCCAAGGCTGATTACAGGCTTTGCTCAAAGATTTGTACATGGTAGGCAATATATATGTGTCTGTGTATATATATATATGTATATATATATATATATATATATATATATATATAATTGATCTGAAAATGTATCCAGCTAAAATATGCAAAGTGGTTCAGAATTAGGAAACACTTAAATTGTCATTAGTCTCTCTATAGCTGCAAGACAGAGTTCTGAGTATCAGGGTGATCCCTGTCAGCTGAATAGCAAGGCACACATCGATGGGAACAAACACATTTTTGCTGGTTTTAGTCTCCAGTTCCTACTCAGTTCAGGCCAAGTTTTCAAGCTCTGGAAGGTGGCAAATTATGTGTTGTGGTCATTTTCCTCCTTTCTTATTAAATGAGAAAACCATCCTTGTTCATCTTAACCATTTCAAAATTTCTCTTACCCCGATTTCCTCATTCATGTACTTTTAGGTTGTACTCTGAAAGCTCCCATATATCAATATGGAAGGAATAAAGAAGAGTGTGAGCAAAAATCGAAACAAATAGAAAAACATGCCCATGAGCACAGCATAATGTTCTTTTGCAATATAACCTTCATCCAGGAAGGATAAAATTTAGATTTGGTGTTTATGGCCAAAAGGGGGCACTCTAGGACCGAATGCTTGTAACTACTGTATAGGCATCTTACCAGAGAATTCAATGTTTTATTTCAGTGTTTTAAGCCCTTGACATGATTATCATTGAAAGATAGGTCAGCATTTAAGACCAAGGACAAGAAGCATAGGACTGACCAGACACTGATCTATGTGATTCTTCTCTGTCAAGGAAACAGGCATGGAACAGACCCTATTTTGCGCTCTGCAGTCTCTTTTCTCCTGAATGCAAACTCAGGGAATTATTTGTTCTACGCTTACCCAGCAGTTTACACTGGCTTTCCGGCTGAAACAGCCAAGAAAGAAAGCGGGATTCAAATGGCATTCAAGCTGTCAAATATTTTCCCCGAGGAACATCTATCTGTGAACTTTCCAAGTGCTTTATTATTTTTCAAATCGTTCATTCATTCACTCATTTATTCATCCCACAAAGACTTTATAAGTGGCAAAGGGTTGGAATTACAAAGCTTATTAAAACAGGGTATGTGCTTCCCAAACTCACAGCACGTTGCGGGAAGGGGACGTGAAGAGAGACAGTTATAACCATCTCTGGTGTCCCGTGATAGAATAATCTAGATGAGACTAGAGCAGGGGGGAAAGGAATAAAGCTGTCTGGAGACTAGGGAAAGCTTAACAAAGGAGGTGACCTTTGAATTGAAACTCTGAGTGGGAAGTGTTTAGGGAACAGGCGGAGATGGCCATTTCAAAAATATGGAACAGCACGAAGCAAGTCTGCTAAGGATTTGCCTAAATTCCCCTGTAGCAAAAGCCATTGTTAACTACCAGTGGTTAAGAAGTGATTAAACTTGCAAATATCAATAAATGATGAATTGATGAGTACTTCTGCTGTATTGATATGGACAATCTTTGTTTCCATTGTCCACATTAAGGGTCAGCAGACATTTTCTGGGAAGGGCAGACAGTAAATATTTTAGGTGTTATGGGTCATAGGGTCTCTGTTGCAACTACTCCAGCTTGATGTAGCACAAAAATATTCATCGGTAACATGTAAGCAAATGTGCGTGTGGCTCTGTCTCAATAAAATGGTATTTGTGGACACTGAAATGTGAATTTCATATAATTTCCATATTTTGTGGGAAATATTTTTCTTTTGATTTTTTTTTCACCCACTTAAAAATTAAAACTCATTCTTGGCTCACAGGCTTTACAAAACAAGCAGTGGTCCATCGGTCCACACCCCAGTCTACCATCCCCTGACCCATACGTTTAGGAAGTGCTGTTTCTAAGCAGAGAACATTGCAATGAGAATGTTCCTATTCAATGTTGTCCTCAACAGAGAGCACGTTCAAGTGACTCCTAGTAAAAATGCCCTTCCCTCTTCTGGGACTGCCGTGTGTGAAGAAGGTAACAGGGTGACTGGTTGATGTCGGCTCCTAAGCAGCACGTAAACATTCAGCATAAGCTCAAAGGCTAATCATCAGAGAGGCAGCAGGTCCAGGAAAAGTAGACTTTTTCTGACATGCTAATATTCAGAAATCAATAGCATTTTAAAAGAGGTATGGAACCATGGTTAAAAAAGCCTGAAGTATCTTTGACATAGTAAAAACCAAACCAGAACAAAAATAAGGAAAAAAGCCAAACAAAACCAAACCCAAACTACTAAGTTATGGCCTAAGTGTTTAAAGTTTAAGTGTGTCTTATATATCCTAATTATTCGTACATGGAATTTAATGTAAGTAATGAGAACTTCTCTCGTCAGTCGTAACTGGTGAGCGGTGATTCCCCGAGTCTCCTATTGCCCTCGGCTACACTGAGATGGAACCATGAGGACTTGTCATCCCATCTCTTCCGGCTCTCTGGGCCAGCCATTTCATCCACACCATTGTTAATGAAATGGGAAACACACACGTTCAAAAAGTGGGATTTATCTCTTGAAGAAAGCAGTGTTGCAAAGCCCAAAGAGCTCACAGTCTGACGTGACGGTGGGCTGGCCTCGGACCCGCGTGTGTCCCCTCGGCATGAGGACCTGAAAGTGTGCTTCGTGACTTACATAGTTGATCCGGAAGTGTCTGCAGGCCCAGTCATCCCTCTCTTCCTCCGAGATCATCTCCACGGTGATGTCTCCGTAAGCTATGGGTTCTTCCGTGAATGGCCAGTAATGATCACATTTCACCTGAGGGGACAGTGGCACAACCTTTTAAAACAAACAGGCTACGGAAGAAAGAGTCTGTGCTCACTCAGGGAAAACAGAAGTCCTTGCCTCTGAAGAACCGCATCGTACTATTGTGAGGAGGAAAAATGGAGCAAGTGGAAGTTTCTGGTACACAGTAAGCACTCAAGCCGTGGCCACGGCTGGTACGGGTTGTGCTGCCGGTGGGGACAGCCCCCTGGGGCACTTACCCTTCTTTTCTCGTTACACTGCGTGAGCATGACAATGATCTGGGATTTCTGTTGTAGAACCATCTTCCAAAAGTCATTTCTGGTCTCAGGCAGTGGCCCCTGTGTGGCAATATACTCCTGGGGTGAGTTGTATCCCTGAAAGATGAAGTGACCAAGTTGTCCGCTAAGGAGCCCCAGTCAACACCAAATCCTGGTCCACACGAAAGAGGAAAACCTGAGAATTTACTGGGGGATAAGTCTGGCAAAGGATCACACACCTGGGTCATGTTCTTTCCCTTTTACATCAAAGAGGTAATCAGAGTAACGGACCCGCGTAGGTCAGTGTGATTGTAAGCCTTGTTCTCACACCTTTTTAATGAGAACAGCCACTGTTTTTAAAGAACAGGGGCTCAGGTAGAGCCCTTTGAGCTGAGTTGCCGAAACCGAAAGCTAAGAGACAGATGATCTTTAGTGTAATTATTGACTTTCACTTTCACCGGATCTTTACAAAGAAATCCGAACATTACTCATCTAGGGGCTTTTCCCCCCATTCGTTATTCTGAAGAGGAATAATGGGAAGTGTTCCTGAGAGTTGGGTGGCCAGGTGGAGAATGGCTCTCTTTACAACTGTTGGATGCATCTCTGGACCCTGAATCGTCCTCCTCTGGCTGAGCTAGAATTTGGATGTCTGGTTTCAAAAAAAAATTTTTTTTTTTTTTTTACTGTGTTATACTTACAGGAATGTAGTTGGCATTGATATAGTCTGTGCCTTCCTCTTCATTCATGGAGACTAATCTCACTCGGCTAAAGTCATCTGCAAAGAACAAGAAGAAAAGAAATATTGAAAATGTGAGCAGAAAGAACTGTCTTGACCTTATCTAACCAAATAGCAAGTCAGATCAGCCTGTGACAGAGTAGGTCGAGTTTATTTTAGCCTGATATTTCAGCCACACCTCAATCTTTGTTTATTGTTTAAATAAAGACAGAAACACATCTCAATCACCGTTTCCTCTCCATCAGCTCCCCTGTCCTTGTCTCCAGGTTGTGGGGGCATTGTGCAGGATATTTAGAGAAACTAAAATATCTGGTGGGTTGTATGGAAGGCTAGAGGATGTAGCCTAAATCCATGAATTCCATGTCACCTAGCACATCCAGAAAATCCACTACCTTTGGAAAATTTAGAGAAGATGGAGTTGCACAGGCTTTGTGTAAACAGACTTCAGATGAGAAAAGTACATTCTGGAATGTGTACAGATGTAAAGTGTTATAATGATGACACTGTGCAATTTTATTAAGAAGGCCGATCAAGGAGAAAATTCTCCTTCTAGAGCTTTTTCAGCTCCCCTCCTCCCCCTTCTCCATTTCTCCCAGCACTAGCCCCTACCTACCTCTATCCACTGTGGCAGAGAACAAAGTTAAATTTATATTGGAATGTATTTTTTGTCTGGTTCATAATGCTTCATATTACTTTTTTTTCTCGAATGTTGCTTTTATTACAAAATGCTAAGCAACAAGAGAACCTACCAGAAGTAAGAAAGGGGAGGCATTTTAGTACATTGCACTCCTTCCCTTGTCAGGGAGTTGACTGAAAATAGTTTATGAAAGCTCAGATTATTTTATCCTAATTTGGCTAAAATTTCTGATCTCCGAAGAGCCAAACGGTCAGTCTTTCCTGATCATCAGACACAATTCAGTTGAAAGCAAAGAAGTTCAGTATTCGTACACAGGATGGTAACCTATGTTATTTAATAACATCAAAGCATGAATGGGACCAATGAAATAGCAGAGATGGCCTTGAGGATCCAGACCACAGCGGGGCTTGGCCAGAGATTGGTGAAAATGATGAATCTGCAGTAATAGTCCGTCAGCCTTTGAGAGACGTGAACAGGATAGGCTCTAGTGAGAATCTTACACGGTAGGATGTTTGTGTAACGATTTTTACATCGGTTCAGTGGAAGGTCTGCCGCAAAGTGTGGGATGTCCAGTCCAATCAATTTCAACTCCTGTAAATGACAGAGAATAGAGTTGAGATTTCGGTAGTTGGTGTGGATTGGATTATTGTTCACACTGTATTTTTCCTCACTCCCTGCCTGTAATAGAATTATCACACCCCATCTTCCACACGATGTTCCCGTTGCTCCCCTTTGGGACAGAGTGCGCTTCTCCACTCCACTCTTCTCAACTTGCTTTGGCCAATGAACTTGGGTAGCAATCATTCCGATCAGAAGCTTTAAGTGTGCTTGCTCAGTTTGGTTTTCCCTTCAGTGCTACTGCCATCTGCCATGAAAAGAACATGCTCAGGGAGGCTGCTGACTCCAGAATGAGGAGATGCTTAGAGCAGACCTGACTCTGTCCTACAGACCCTTGAAGGAGGAAAATACATAAATGTTGTTCTGGACCACTGAGATTTTGAGATTAACCCTATAAGATGCTTCTATAGCATTATTGCAGGAATAGAGCTAATATAATACATAAATACCCTGAATAACTTAGTGATCACATGGAGAGGGAAAGAATTATGTGTATCACTCAAGGTATGGAAAATTTGAAAACAGAGACACATTTCAGCTTTTTGGAGGTATATATTAACTGAAATGTACGCAATATGTGTAAATATTTCTATTCTATGGGGAAATGTAGGTATTTGTCCTACAGGCAATAGGCCTTAGAGGAAGTGGTAAAAGAGTGAGGATCAAGTAGGGAATATTCCCCATGTTACAAGAAGTAAGATCCACAGGCACTAAGTATCTGGTAATAAATTGGAGAGTAAAGATGAATCAGTAGTGGGTAGGCAAACTTTTCAGTGAAAATAGGAACAACCAAATACCTGCCTGTATGTACATACCAGTACTCCTATAAAACCTATAATCCAATTGCATTGGTAGGGCAATTTTTATATAAACAGACAACCATCACACTTCAACAAGATTATGTGATGGGCTAGGGGGCTTCTAAGTGTTCACCTCATGTGTCTTATAGGAAACAAGCCGGTATGGTCAGGCCACCTGGATTTCCCAGGAGGTATCATTGACGTTGTGGTCGGTGTGAATAGCTCCCTGGAGTTGGGCAGTGCACAACTAGTGCAGCAGATCTGGTTATTTTCCTGTACAAAGCTCAGGGAAATATTAGTAAACAGCATATACAGCCATCTACAAATGGAATGATCTATATAGTATGCACTTCTCTGTGAGACTACTAGCTGAGGCTATAATTGTCTTTACTCAGATAGGACATTAATGTTGTGCACACATTTTACTCTTCATAATTCCTCCCAATTTTTACTCCAGCGAATCATAATTGAGAGGAATACATATCTGGGGGAAGAGTTTGGGAGCGTCTTTGAAAGACTTTTGAAGGGGGATGGAGACATTGGTGATGTTTTGAGAGACCAAACAGGCACATCTCGTTCATGGCCTTTCTATCTTGATATGTGTTCTTTGCAAAGCATATGCTTTAAAGAGACCAAGTTCTTGGGTCTTCTGTTGTTTCCACATAGAGGTTCCTTGACAGCTAACTGGGATGCAAAGCTGTGGTCCACACGGATGGACTCGCTTGAACCACTCAGATCTCTCTCCTCCTCCCGTTCTGCAACACTTTGGGCTTTTTTGTTTTTTTAAGATTTTATTTATTTATTTGACAGAGAGAGACACAGCGAGAGAGGGAACACAAGCAGGGGGAGTGGGAGAGGGAGAAGCAGGCCTCCCACGGAGCAGGGAGCCCGACGCGGGGCTCGATCCCAGGACCCTGGGATCATGACCTGAGCCGAAGGCAGATGCTTAATGACTGAGCCACCCAGGCGCCCCAACACTTTGGGCTTTTTAAGATCATGAAATCCCAAGCTCTGGGGCCCAAGTGGAAGCCAACTTTAAAGACAAGCTATGCTGACTTTGATCCTCAATTCACAAAGGGAGTTTTTCTGTCTCAGGCAAAAATCCTTGCTTGCTAAATGCCTTTAACCAGACGCGTGTCACCGTCAATTTCTAAGTGGTTTTTTCATTTTAAAGGGTTTTCAAAGACTGACTACATTGTTCTTATAAGTAACAAGATTTATTTTTAGCAAACTTCAACCAAATCAGTGTTACTTTTAGGTTAGTTCCTCTCAGAAGCCAGAAGCTAATTTAAATGATGCTCCCATTGCTTAAAATATTTTGGAAGCTACCTCCTTTAGAGAGTGTCTTTAGAGATAGTTGGTCAAAACATCCGGCTTCTTTTGGTGTACCACTCATAAACTGTAGGGTCTTGGAAAAGTAGTTCAACTCATGGTAACATCAGTTTAGTTATCTGTAAGATAAGGCTAACAACATTTCCGTCCCTCAGTCACGTATAGTGACTCTCCAAGGGAACGATTAAACTCAACAAATATGAATACAGCACTATTGATAATGGCAACGAAATGCCTCTGTTCGGAGTCTTTGTTTTGCTTGGCCTCGATGCATAACTTCTCCCTCTTCTGCCGTTTGCGCTAACAGACCGACAACTTTCCCTGCAAATCCCCCGCTTTGAGGACACACTGAAGAGCCACAGGAAGAGGACTCAGTGACGAAAGAAAAGTGTGGAAACAGATTGGAGCTGGGAGCTGGAGCACATATGGAAGCTGACTAACTGATAGAACTTTAATTGTATGTTGCCTCCCTGCTGCAAATGCCCTAAGTTGATAAGAGAGGTTTAATTGGCTGAACACTGTAAATGTAAATTGCCAAGGCCGAACCATGGCAGAGCGGGAACGGCGGGTGTACATAAAGTGCTCTGCAATCTTTTGTAATTTAGCCTGTCACTAAGTGGAAAATCAAATACTAAGTTTCCGGATCAGTAGCTTTGCAGTTATTCTCTTTCCAGCCACATGGAACCTCCGGAGGCTTAAATCTTCATAAAGGCAAAGGACGAGGTGATGGCCTGAAACTGACATAAATCATTTTTGAATTTTCATTTGCCAGTTTTGTTTCTGTTATGATTTATCACTCTGTGTGCTTTTCCCTGGAGTCATCCACAGCGGGTTGAGTGGTGGCCCCCCCAAAAGATGTGTCCACATGCTAACCCGCAGAACCTGTGAATGTGGCTTTATTAAAAAAAGAGGCTTTGCAGATGTAATTAAGTTAAGGATCATAAGATGAGATTATTCTGTATTATCTGGGTGGGTCCTGTATCTAAGAACAAGTGTCCTCCTAAGAGAGAGAAGAGAAGGCCACATAAAGACAGAGAAATAGACTGCAGTCATGCAGCTGTAAGCCAAGGAGCACCTGGAGCCTCCAGAAGCTGGAGGAAGCAAAGAAGCATTCTCCCCTAGAGCCTTCAAAGGAAACATGGCCCTGATAACACATTGATTTTGGACCTCCGGCCTCTAGAATTCTGAGACAATAAATTTCTGTTGTTTTAAGTGACCAAGACTGTGGTAACTTGTTACGGCAGCCCTAGGACTCTAATTAATACAGTCCCCAAGCCCAGTGGCAGTCTACATTGGGTTGGCTGAGTTTGAAGCACGCAAGTCGGGGAAAGCAAAGCACAAACATATGCACTGTGTCAGTCTGTTCAGGCTGCCATTGCAAAGTACCATCGACCGGGTGGTTTAAACAGTGGCAATGTATTCCTCACAGCTGTGGAAGCTGGGCAGGCTCCGATCAAGGTGCTGACAAGGTAGACGTCATTCTGGGGCTTCTCTTGGCCTGCCTGTGACCATTGTCTTGCTGTGTGCTCACGTGACCTTTCTCGTCTAGCCCTACTTACCATCCCAAGCCCCCATCTCGTCAACATATCAATTTTGGGAGGACACAGGCAGCCCCTAACATGCACAGTCATCTTCTGAGAAGAGTGCAAACTCTGTTCTGGCTCTAGAGTCTGTCACAGTGTCAGCAGGGGCTAACTATTTGGGACAGGTTGGACCTCAGAGTCAAGCGGGTTCGATTACTAGGCTATGGGACAAGGAGGAGACACGACATCACCACTGGTGTTGACAGTGGTGGTGCCACATGTGGCAGGGTACAAGGCTCGGTGCAATTGGGCCAGGTCTGGCTCGTTTTCAGGAAAACACAAAAGGAGATGGGATTTAGAGGGAGGTGTTTAGTGGAGCTCTGTATTCATTTCTGAGAGCTGCCGTAACAAAGTACCGCAAGCTGGGGGGCTTAGAGCTACAGAAATTCATCGTCTTATAGTTCTGGAGGCTATATGTCTGAGATTGAGGTGCTAGCATGGACCTCTGACGTCTGTCACTTATAGAGGAATATCAGGGCATCCTTCCCGCCTCTTCCTAGCGTCTGTGGTTTGCTGGCAACCTTTGGTAGTCCTTCACTTGCAGCTCTATAACTCCGATCTCTGCCTTTGTCACCACGTGGTGTTCTCCCTGTTCGTCTCTGTGTCTTCACCCAGCTGTGTTTCCATAGGGACACCAGTCAGATTCAGAGCCCACACCGCTCCCGTATGGCCTCATCTTAACTAGTTACATCTGCAATGACCCTGTTTCCAAATAAGGTCATATTCCGAGGTACTGAGTGCTTAGGGCTTCAACATATCTTTTGAGGGACACAGTTCAACCCAGGACAGGTACTCTAAAGGAAGAATGGGGTGCAGCAGTAATGGGCATCTTGGGGAGGTGATGGAGGACTGGAGGACGCCAACCTCAGGAGAGTCCAGCAGGGGCTGGCAGGGCCCTGACCCACTAGGGTGGGACTGAGGGGCCACACTCCAGCTGCTGGACAGATCGCTAGTATAGAAACCTGGAAACAGAGACCCAAACTAGAAGAGGAGGGAAAACTCAGGTCTGGGAACCAAGCAAGACCCCCGGAGTAAGCACTGTTGGAGAGAGTTCAAGGTGGCTTATTTCAACAAAGGCTGCAGGTAGGTCTCCAGTGAACTGGACATGAACACAAGGAAAAAGAGCTGTCAATGGGAGCTACTAGCAGAAATCAAGGCTCATCTCTCATGAACTACGTGGCAAGGAATACAGTTCGTTTTGGCCTTTGCAGCCACATTTCTGAACAAAGATGGTGCGAGCTTTCATTAGCCTCCTGATCAAACAAATACAAAACACAGAAATTAATGGCAGAATGAGCAATATATGGTATATCTCGTGGGCTCTGCAATTTCAAGCTCTAAGTCTGGCTCTTCAAAATCTTTCCATATGAGACATACGAAATGAGGAACTGAATCTAATCCCTGAGTCCCACACCTCCTTAAGAAAAGATGCACATCTTCATCAGAAGGATAATCAATCTTTCCAGCAGATGCAAAATCAGATGCAGGGTGAAAAAGGAATGTATTTAGGGAGTGCAAATTAGCAAGTCATAGAGCTTCATGTATGACTTACAGCTGTATTGGTAATATATGTAAATCTAGACACTAGTTTCAATTTGCATAATGCTTATAAACGATGTAATTTCTCAGTATGAGTGTGATCTTTCAATGTCAGTATCAAAATGAATACAACTATTAAGCATTCATACAAACAGAACAAATAACTGTTCAGCTACTGAATTTAGTTAGACCAGCTGATTGGGCCATTTTAATACCCTCTTGGGCTCTTATTAGAGCAGGAAACCTGTTTTATTTTCCCTCAAGTTTTGATTAATTACCAACTTCAGGAAAATTTGACGGCTGCCATGTGAAAGGTCTGACATACATCCTAAAATCAGGTATGGGTATGAGTCTTTGAAAACAGATGAGGGTACCAGGACATGGAACCTGAAGGAGTGGAGGTGGGGGGTGGGGGCCAGTGTTGGAGGCTGGCGGTGCCTGAGGGCTGGTGAACGAAAAAGAAAGTGAGTCACACCCATGGGTCACTGCTTGGGCAAATGTTAAAAAACACAGTCTGAGCCTATGACTTAAAGCAGACTTCTGGAGAATAATTTATATTTTCTCACCAGAGCAGGGATACAATATCAGAACTCGGCACCAAATAAATTACATATAGGATCAGCAGTGTTCTAAGAACAAAGATAGATGAAGCAAAGCTTCGGAATAAATAAAGACACTAAACGCTCCTTCAAATCATGGTGTGATGGGTAATTCTGTGTGTCAGCTTGGCCAGCCTAGATAGCGCTTGGTCAAACATCAGTCTAGATGTTGCAAGGAGGTATTTTGTTTTTAGATGTGATTAACAAAGCAGATTACTCTCCACGGTGTTGGTGGGCCTGATCCATCAGGTGAAGACCCTAAGAGAAATGACTGAGGTGCCCTGAGGAGGAAGACATTCTGCTTCCTGGTTGCTTTTGGATTGAGCAGCAATATCAATTTTTCCCTGGGTCCAGAGCCTGCCCCGCAGTTCTCAGGCTTGTGAGCTCTCACGACTGTGTGAGCTCGTTCCTTGAAATAAGACTGTCTCTTTCCATGTATATATTTCTTCAATTATATTATAGTATATAGGATATACATCTTATAATAATTACATAAGAATTCTATAATTCTATAAGACGTATATAATGTAATGAACTTATGGATGAATTACACGATTACATTTTATTGTATTAGTGTTCATACATGTATATATTTCCTATCGGTCTGTTTCTCTGGAGAACTCTAATACATGTGAGTTGGAAAGCTTGGATGCACCCTCGTCCCACATTTAGTCCAGGGTCTCCCAGTGGAATCCTATTGGCCTGGAACAATTCTTCATTGTGCAGGACTGTCCTACTCATCGCAGAACATTTCTCATCCCTGTCCCTTTCTCCGTCGAATATCACTAGTAGCTCCTTCCCAAGGCATTAGGAGAACCAAAAATACTCCCGCACACTCCCAAACTCTCCCTCGGGGACTTCCTGGTCCTGGCCCAGTTGATTTCGTCCAGGTCCTGGCCCCTACTGATTTTGTTCGGCCTACTCATTGGATGAACAAATTGAGGGGAGGAGAAATTGTGGCTTTTTTTCACTGTTGATTAAAGGCAAAATGGTCATGAGAACTAAGGGTTTTGGATCTGTTTTCAAAGACTCATACCCATACCTGATTTTAGGATGTATGTCAGACCTTTAGTACACTCCTACCTCCTTTATAATTCTTATGGAATAAGCCTGAATGTGTTCATTTATATGTTGAATGCACAAAAGCTCTCAGCATGCTATAAATTAAACATTTAGCACATAGAATTTATTATCTTACATTTCATATTTTTGAAGCATCTGAAGCTAGGATCTAATCATTTATTGTTTGGTTCTGCAGCGTCCTTCCTTTTTGGGGGAACAGTGCTCCCCATTGATTCAACCAAGTGGTTCTAGTAAGAGCTGTCCCGTTCCTACGTGACTCTGCTCTCTCGGGCTGCAGTTGGCTTGAGTGGATGTCACAACGCAGGCCTGCCGTCAGTATCCTCTCCTGTTAATTTTTAGACTCTGAATAAGAAAGAGAGTCAACAGTTCCCTCTGGAAACTGTGGAAACTCTCAGATGTAACGCTCAGGGGTCGTGGGTGATTGTGTTTTCCACTGTGAGAAGGAGGTTGGTTTGCAGCGAAAGAGAGAGAGAGGCCAAGACAGAGAGAGAAGCAGAAATGAGAGAAAAAAAACAAAAAAAGAGCGGGTCTCTGCAGGGGTGTGGCCCCTGGTTCCAATCATTCCTGACACTGAGCTGCTCCCTTAACTCCCTCTGGTTTAGCTCTAAGATTCCTTTGGTTAGATGACATAGCTCGGCATCCTTTGAACAAATGCCTTCTCTCTTTGGTCTAAACTAGTCTGAATGGTGTGTCACTCACAACTAAAATCATCTTCTCTTTTCAGCAAAAAATGGCTCCCTGAATTTTCTTTATGATAATGCACTTCAGAGGCACGCTAATAATCACACTGGGGCTTGATGGCATAAGCTGGGAGGTACTGTTAACCCTCCCAGCAAGGGCAGCGATGCTAACTGCATCACCAAGGTGACATCACCAAGTAGGGATGAAGAGCTGGAGGCTTCAGGGAATTTGAAAGTGTTTGCACATCATAATTTTTCATCACCACTATCAGAGTTATCCAGACATTTATTTTCTTCCTGAGTTTTGGCTTATGTGTTCTCAAAGAAAATCTCCTTTGTTTTTTTTCTTCCTGAAATGCCATCCTTGTCATCTCCATCCAGTTCACACCAAAGTTCTATTCTTTGAGATACAGTATTTGGTGTCACATCTACAACTTCCTGCACACTTGTGTGCCATGGATAACTGAGCCAGGCTCTGTGTGGAATTTCTGATGACACAGGTGGGTAGTGTTAGGGGGCTTTGTATTTGATCATGAGTAAAGTTCTTCTCATCCCTAAATTCCCTCTTAGTATATCCACACCAGGCTCCTGCTGCTTCTTGCAGACCTAAGATACCCTCAGATGATGAGGGAAAAGAAGAAATGAGTATGAATCATGAGGGCAAAGCAGCTACATTCAACAACTTGGTGTTTCACACGAAAGAGCTCCTAAGACCTTCAAGAAAACATTGCCGTATTTAGAAGAGTCACTTGATCTCTTTCTTTTCCCTGGTATCCTTGAATCATGGACCACCTGAGTCTTGCTGTAGGAACCTCAAGGGTGAGGCCACCCAGACTGTCCTGAGCTGTGAAATATGTGGGAAGAAAACCTGAGGACCAGTTACACTGCTGAGATCCGAGGCTGACTCATTTCCACCTACTTAGACACGTGGTCTTGGACTCAAAGAATATGTGCACTTCAGAGAAAGGAGGTGTTGCCGTTTTTTTTTTCCTTCTTCCACATGAACCAGGTATAACTCTCTCCCTAGTTTCCCCCAAGAAAAGTAAAGGAAATTTCACAAAGAAATATGAAGCAGAATGCCAGGAGTCCTATAGCTGTAAGAGCCCACCCCCACCCCACCCAGGCTCTTCCGTGCCCAGAAGAGAAAGGGGATCTGTTTCATCCACCACCTACCCTTATTGTGGCCTCAGTGACATAAGAGACCCACTAAAAATTCCCTGAAAGTGAAATTTTGTTTCCGACCTAAATCCTCACTTTGCTCCCTCCCCTCCCCCACCCCACACTCCATTGCATTGATGTTCAGTGATGGTTTCTCCTGGGATTGTGTTTGTTCACCCCACTACCCGCATTTGTTCTCTTTTCCTCCAGTGGTGCCACCCTAGTCCTGACCTGCAGAGGGTGCCATCCTCACTCTGCACCAGCCCATGAGACACCCCCAGCACAGTTACCATGCTGCCCATTATGAACCGTATCACAAGCCCTGCCCAGTGAGCAGGGAAATGACACCAGTCCCAATCTGGCAAGTCCCACGCCTCATCTACCACAGAAGGTAGGAAATACTTGATCTACTCACCTCAAATTGAAGAGAAAATTTATAGTCAGAGTCTTTGGCCATATCCTTGATGTAGGCGTCAAAGTCATCCAGTTGAACTGGGCTTTACCAAACACAAAGAAATGTATGTTTTAAAAATCTGGTTGACAGGTATCTATACTGTTTAATGTCATACTTTTCAAACATGAATGATTTTCTTAGAGAGAAAAGCAAGCTTTACTGCTCCAAGGTTAGCATTCATCTTTTTTGTTGTTGTTGTTAAAGTTATCAGTCCCTAATATGTTGTGATTAAAAAGAGGGCCTTATGTATTATACTTCCTTGAGATGGGAGAGAGCTCTAGATTTTCAGTCGGCTCTTACTCTAGCAATAAAATATTATATGTACGGGGCACCTGAGTGGCTCAGTCGGTTCAGCGTCTGCCTTGGGCTCAGGTCACGATCCCAGGGTTTTGGGAGGGAGCCCTACATCAGGCTCCCTGCTCGGCGGGGAGCCTGCTTCTCCCTCTGCCTGCCGCTCCCCCTGCTTGTGCTCACTCTCTCTGACAAATAAATAAAATCTTAAAAAAATATTATATAGATATGCATGCTTACATACATACATGTATATATGTTGTTTCTAGAAAATTCTGATCAATGGGAAAGAACAAAGGATTAGAGTCTGAAGAAGTGTTTGAGGTACGGTTTTATTTTATTTACTGTGTGATCATGAAAAATTGCTCTAACTCTTGTGAGATTCAGCATTCTCATCTGTAAAATATTATGGTCATACTGGTATACACGCATGCTAGCTACACTGTCCCTCAGAGCAGAGGCAGGGCCGGTGGGATGAAGCACATATCCAGAAAGCTTCTAGAGCCTCATTCTTAAAGAGCCATGTTTGTGTATCCATCAGAGCATCAAAAAGGTTCAAAGGTACAATCAAGTAACGCATCTGAGCTTATGTTTCTGTATCTATACCCGAAGTTCTTACCTTTTTCCTTCTTCTTCTTTTCATGAATAAGAATTATATTTTAGGAACACCCGGGTGGCTCAGTTGGTTAAGTGTCTGCCTTCAGCTCAGTATCATGATCCCAGGGTCCTGGGATCGAGTCCCAAGTCAGGCTTCCTGCTCAGTGGGGAGTCTGTTTCCCCCTCCCCCCCCCCCCCTGCTCATGATCTCCCTCCCTCCCTCCCTCCCTCTCGGATAAATAAATAAAATCTTAAAAAAAAGAATTATATTTTATTTCCTACAGTTTTCTGAAGCTGCTTATCCTTCCCAGAGTTTACCTATACCAACCTGCTCCCTAAGCTTCTACAAGATGCTCTGCTCTGGCGTCTAATCCAAGCCTTTCCACTTTGGCAGGATCCACACAGCGACCTTTCCCTTCGTCTTGCTACAAATTACTCAGCTTATATCCTCTACCTGTGGCCTTATGTCCTATTAGCAAATACATAGTATTATTTTTTTTAAGATTTTATTTATTTATTTTACAGGGAGAGACACAGCGAGAAAGGGAACACAAGCAGGGGAGTGGGAGAGGGAGAAGCAGGCTTCCACTGAGCAGGGAGCCCGATGTGGGGCTCCATCCCAGGACCCCGGGATCATGACCTGATGATCAGGTTAACGACTGAGCCACCCAGGCGCCCCAATACATTAATAGTTATTTGTTTAAAGTTGTTGATTAGCCAATCTCATAGATTCTGTTAAGATTTTAGTAGAATTTAAAGGGCATTATACCTCCCAGAGGCACACTTCAATTCTAATGGTTTCACTTAATAGCATTAATGACTCGTATCCATAAAACACACTGCAGTGCATACATATTCGCATACGTTATATTGCTTGGTTGGTCCCTGAAGTAGACACAGGCAACATCAATCAGCCCCATGCTTCAGGTGAGCCAGCCAAGACCGAGTCCAGTGAATAGTCAGAGATCACGCAGCTACTAAGCAGTAGAATGCTTACCAGCACCCTGAGAGAATGATTTCTGGTTAAAAGCTATTCCCACATCAAACTTGCCATCCTTCCAAAAGAATGGCGAAACATGGGGCTCCTATCCTAGAAGGAACTCCACTAGACCTGCCCTCTCCGGCTGTTGTCTCTGAGCAGGGCATTGACCTTAACGTTGGACTGAATGATTCCAGTTTTCATCCCATTCCCAGGAGAAAAGGAGCACGAATAGGAAAGGCAATCTGAGAAAGTATTTATGGGTTAGAAAAAGCAAAAGGAAAAGAGGGACAGAGGAAGGGCCAGAAAACAGAAGAATAAATATCAGGGAAAGGAGAAGGGTGGTAAGGAGTAGCAAAAGCAAGCTGGGGTGGGGGGTGGTAAAGATGGAGAGGATAAAGGTTTAGAGGGAAAAGAGAAGGTGGAGCAAAGGGGGGGTGAAATGAGAATAGGTACAGATGGGAAAGGGGAGCCACAGGGACATGGTGCGGGGTGGGAGGGGCGGGCTTTGGGAGGGAAAGAGAAAGAGGGAAGAGAAAGCAAATGCAAATGTAGGCAGGGGAGGCCCTCAAGAACTGGCTTTTAGAGAAGGAGGGAGGATTAGAAAGAAAATGAGAAGAAGGAAAGGGGAAGCTGGTTTCTTAGTGGTCTCCGCCAGTCATATGTGTAAACACATCCACACATAGTAGTTTAGCTGTTGAAATATACACCTGCCCTCTTTTTTAAGTTTTATTTATTTATTTATTTATTTTTAGAGATATTATTTATTTATTTGACAGAGAGAGAGACACAGCGAGAGAGGGAACACAAGCAGGGGGAGTGGGAGAGGGAGAAGCAGGCTTCCCGCCGAGCAAGGAGCCCGATGCGGGGCTCGATGCGGGGCTCGATCCCAGGACCCTGGGATCATGACCTGAGCCGAAGGCAGATGCTTAACGACTGAGCTACCCAGGCGCCCTTAAGTTTTATTTACTTAAGTACTCTCTACACCCAACATGGGGCTTGAACTCATGACCCCGAGATCAAGAGTCTCACGCTCCTCCAACTGAGCCAGCCAGGCGCCCCTACATTTGCCTCTTTCTTAAACATCCCTTCCATTTGAAGACAAGCAATCATTTTTTTTTAAGATTTTATTTATTTATTTGAGAGAGAGAATGAGAGAGAGAGAGAGCACATCAGAGGGGATAGGGTCAGAGGGAGAAGCAGACTCCCCGCCAAGCAGGGAGCCCGATGTGGGACTCGATCCAGGGACTCCAGGATCATGACCTGAGCTGAAGGCAGTCGCTTCACCAACTGAGCCACCCAGGCGCCCGACAAGCAATCATTTTAATAGGCAAAGTGAGGATCATTATGAAGAACTTTTTTTAAATCAAACATTTTAAAAAGAAATATAAGAAAAACTTACTGTATTATATACTTCAAAGTTTTTAAGACTAATCTTTAATATTTTCACCGCAAAACAATAATTATGTGACAAGACGGAGTTGTTGGCTAAATGCTATGGTGGGAATCATTCTGCATTATATCAGTGTATTAAATCAACACATTGCACACCTGAGACTTACACAATGTTATAAGTCAGTTATATCTAAACAATAAAAAACGACTTACTTAGTCAGTTTCCTCTTCTTTAAACCATTTTTACTCCTGAGAATTAAAAAAAAAAAAAAAGGCAGCTTTATCTGGGCAAAAGAATCGATTGACATAATGATAAAACTTGAAGAGCTTTAAATAATTATATCAGGCACCTCAATTGTATTTAATTTTCATTAAACATACCTCCAGTTTGTTTAATTACTTTTCATTAGACGAGAAGATAGTGATAATAATTTCAGATTTACTTCTTAAAAAGCCTATTAGATTACAAGAATATACTTGTACTTTACATTTCGGATTTGCCAAATACTAAATTCTAGAAATATCATCTTCTGCTACTAATGGTTAAGTTGCTGAGGTATTTTATAAAATTATAGAAATATCCGTTGCCTGAAAACTCTAGGATCTATAGGCTGGAAGGAAAGAATTGGGGAATAAAAGGGGAGAACTAAGTATCTGGGAGGGTGGATATTGGTTGTCAAAGACTCAAAGACTCAAAGCCTCTTCCCTGGGAATGTGAGTTTGTGCTATCAGTGTTGGCATGTATCTTTTTTTTTTTATGATTTTATTTATTTATTTGACAGAGAGAGAGCCAGAGTGCACAAGCATGGGAAACAGTAAAGGGAGCGGGAGAAGCAGGCTGCCCACTGAGCAGGGAGCCCGATGCCGGACTTGATCCCAGCACCCTGGGATCATGACCTGAGCTGAAGGCAGACGCTGAACCGAGTGAGCCACCCAGGTGCCTCTCTCTCTCTTTTTTTTTTTTTTTTAAGACTTATTTATTTATTTGAGAGAGAGAGAGAGTATGTACAAGCAGGAGGGGCAGAGGGAGAGGCAGAGAAAATCTCAAGCAGACTTTGTGCTGAGCACAGAGCCCAATGCGGGCTCGATCTCACGATCCTAAGATCATGACCTGAGTCGAAACCAAGAGTTGGATGCTCAACTGACGGTGCCACCCAGGTGCCCTGGCATGTGTCTTATAGAATTCTATTATGGCATTGTTCTTATTCAATTTTGAACTAGTTTTTTAAGCTACCTGAAGAATTGTACCTATTACTAGTTCTTAATTCATTACTATTCTGTAAGCTCAAACACATGTAATGTTAATATATGCTTCAGTTAATTACATTTTTAGGGGGTATTTAGGGTAATCGTTTTCAACCAACAAATAAGGTAACTGACCTAAGTTAGTGAATAAGAATACGGTCTCTGCTGAAACACTTCACTACTGTATTTTTATTGTTTTATATAAATGATAAATACTGATATGATTGTGAGTGACAATTTTTACAAATAGTTTCCCAAAGTCTTTAAATATTGATGGAAGCACACAAACTTTCAGAAAATAAACCATCAGTAGTAAATAACCAGTGTGATCTGAGTGCTCTCATGTGCCAGAATATTTGTTTATATTAAAAATTATGGAGGCGACTGGGTGGCTCAGTCGCTTAAGGCACTAGACTCTTGCTTTCACCTCAGGTCATGATCTCAGGGTCATAGGATCAAGCCCCCATTCGGGCTCCGCGCTCAGCTCAGTCTGATTGAGAGTCTCTCCGCCCCTCCCCCTGCTTGCATTCGTTCTCTCTAAATAAATAAATAAAATCTTTAAAAAAATAAAAATTAGAATTGTGAATATGCGGGTACCTTCATTTCTAGAAAGGCTGTAGCAGAATGAAGCACTGCTTCCTCTGTGCTCTCGTAGCACTTTGTTCATGGAATGTTTCTCCTGGTGTCCATCAGTTGCTTCTGTGTTCCTTGCTACACAGTCCTTCCCAGCCTCCCCACCCCCCCAGAGCTGAGCACAGTTAAGAGGACACATGGTGGTGCTCAATAAATGCTTAGTGAATTGGGTTGAAACAAAACACCTTTGCCATGTTGCCCCACAATTTTACTTAATGATTCAATGAGGAGTTTGATACTAGACTCAGGAAGTGGAACTGGTGGATGGACAGGAAGTTTAGGGAATTTAGGGCAGGGAATTTAGGGAAATATCCATTAAGGCAAGTGGTGTTTCCGGTTTTCATTTCCTGGTTTCAGTTTTTACTTCAGTTTTACTTTTTCCCACTTCTGAGTGACGACAATCCATTCAAGAGCTCCCTCCCTATTTGTTCTCCCTCATCCTCTGTCTTCCATGTTTGAGATTTAGAGGGAATAGACATTCCGGTTTTTACTTTGCTTCTCCCTCACCCCCTCAAAACACCACTGTAGTGTTGGACAGGGCTGTATCATCTAGGCCTTTGGGAACCTAAAAGAACACCTTTTGAATAATTTTTACTCAGCTCTTGTGGGGGTAATGCAGTTAACTTTGGGAATTCCACATTCACTTTGTATCGTGGGAGCTGATGATGGTGCTTTATGACAGAGGAATGTTCGCTGATATAACTAACAGTTTGGTGAAGTCAGGAGGCTGCCAACATATTTTGTGACTGGGAGTGGGAAAAAAAAAACAAAACCCAAACCAAATCTTTCCTATCCAAACAGACTTTAAGGGAAACTGGGAAGAAACAAATGTATGTGGGAGAGTAACACTGAATAAATTCAGTGCTGAAATATTAAGCTGCTACTATTCAACAGCTGTGTAGAAACCTGATTACTGGAAGACAGGCACTTTTTTTCTTTCATTCTCATTCATTGACTGAATGAACTTTACATAGAATGTAAAATTCCACCACATGTTTTCAATGACTTATTGCCAAAAGTGTATGTTTAAGTGTATGTCTTCATGATTTGTGTACAACCTTTATGTTCTGCTTAGATTTTGCAGAATTCCCGAAGATTCCAAAGGGTTCTCATGTCCGTAGGCTGTGGGACAAGGACAGGAGTGAATTATGAGACTCCACAGCCACATGGATGGAATTTTCCTATGTTTTCAATTGCTGTACTAATTCTAAGACGAAAATCAGTGGACAATTCACTTTTAAACATGTAATTGGAGGTTCTGCCAGCCCTTTGGTTGTCAGCTCATTGTGGAAAGAGCTAGTCTGTGCGCCTGTTACCATGAACATTTGAGGTGATGTGTAGGGTGTCATCTTGTCATTGCAAAAGATTTTTTAAGTAATTGCTAACACTCCTCAGACAAACAGTATATATGGATACATGATCATGCACATCTTCCAATTTTCTCTTTTACTTATATCAGTTAGGTAAGGTTCAAAATCCTAATGACTTCAAGAAGTTAAGATGCACAAGTTCTTCATGGTTATGAGATCTTGGAAAGCCAGCCAGACTGGAATTCATTGCAAAAAGGAATATGAAAAGAGGCAATGGCAGAAGCATGGGATTTACAAAGACTAAAAACAAACAAGCCCCCCCGAAACAATCCCCGAAATTCTAAATGTTCCCAATTTCATAAGTGCCACTTACTCTTTCATGAGCTAGCTGGAGATTATCCCCAAATCTTAAAAAGGCGTTTAGAGTTATATCATCCTCTGAATAAAATATGCAATAACCAGGAGGAAAGCTGAGCAGTTTAAACTAAATGTTGCTTCACGCTTAAAATGACAAATGTTGCAAATTTCGAGCAGGTGCATGAATACTTGAGCAGAGCATGAGGTGAGTACTGTGTTAATAAAAAGAGGAGTAATAATGAATCCAGATAGAGCTGGTCCGAATGAAATGGTTTTCTCTGATTAGGACACCCTATCTGAGATGATGGGAGCCAGAAATCCTGGCAGAATACCATCTTGAGACTAAGCCACCTGGGCACTGGTGACCGGCTCTGGTTTTGCTATCGCCCTGGGAGAAGATTTGAGCAACACTATGAGAGAGAAAGAGTCTCCTGGTTTCCACACGAACCACTCACCAGGAAGATTTTACAAAATTAACGGGAACATCTATTCCCCTAAACTTGGCAATTTGGAGAAGATACCAGGCCGTGTATGAGGAAGGAGGTAGGGTGGGTGGCTCTGTTATTTCTAATGGTTGTTAACAGACTAGGTGAAATATGAAGACAAACACATCTGGAGGAGGATTAAAAACGGCTATCTGCAAATGAAAGCAGGGGAAAACATCCATGAGTTACTAGGATGAAGAGAAAAGTAGCGAACAGTAGGGACCTCGGGTGGCTTTGTGTGTGCTAAGTTAGCTGTACCTGAAAAAAAGCAAGGATCATGTATTTAACTTCTGTTATATCTGACCTAGCACAAGCCTAAGCGGGAAACAGAGTTTATGTTCAGTCTATTCTCATTGGTTGATATGTGTATGGTTTACCGAAAGTGACAGAAAGCCTGGGGCTCTATGTTTTGCCTTCTCTTCTCACCTGGAGATAACCATTTACATCTCAAGACAATTCTTCTAAAAATGACTGAAGGGTTTTTTTTTTTAAAACAAACAAACAAACAAAAAACAAACAAACACAACTACTGAAGGGTTTTTCCCCCCCTGACTTGGGTCTCATGCTATTTGATCAATACTATAAATAGCAGACCTTGAAGGAGCTGTTGGAATTTGAAGATGTGTTCATCAGGGGGACCTAGTAAGAAATACATGCAAAAAAAGCACAGCCCTGATAGAAGCTTAGAAACCAAACTGTGGGAAAGGCAGAGAATTAAGCAGAAAAATTAACATGATAGTATATGTATCTTTCTTTCTTCTGTTTGAATTGAGATTTATGGAGGGTACTTTAGGGGTACTGGGTACGGTATTCTGATGATAGGTAGAATACTTGAGAATGGTTAGTAGATGTTGAGTGAAAAGTGATGCATATTCTGAAGGTCAAAATGGAATATATATGCACTACTCATACCTAAATACTATCTGATGTCAAATACTTAAAATACTGTGTTGGCTATGGTGAAGCCCTATACTCAAAACTGTTATTAAAACCAACTTGGAATAACAGCGAATGGGTCCTCATCATCCGAGACATTCTTCTGAGTTCATTACTTAACACCTCAGGGTCTACCATATTTCAACAGTTTTCCTCTAGTCTCTTCTTTAAAACAAAACAAAACAAAACAAAACAAAGCAAAACAAAACACCCCAAAACAACCCCATTGCTGGTATTAATTTCTACTGGTATTAATACTGGTACTAATCTCTACTGTGAGGAAGTCCTTTTTGGTATTTCTTCCATTGCAACTTGAAGTCCTAACCTTGCCAACTGTATTTATTCTGTCCTTGGAGGAGCGGAAGAACATTTGATCAACTGTCTTTTTGAATAAATAACTCTACAGATTGCTTTTCATTCACTCTTCCCCCCACTCTCCCCACTCAAGCACCATTTTTCCAGTTCATGAACTATCGTTATTGTTTTTTCTGAGTTCTGAAGTTGTCCATATATCTGGATCTGTCTGTACATAATTTAGTATCTAAACACCTTGGATTTTTCAGGACAATGATGTTTTGTTTTTGGTCAGGAAACCACTACCTTCTTTCCTGCAGCTCAGGAAAGGAAATAGTCCTTCTCGATCTGTTAGTCCCAGATTTCAAAATTATTGTTATTAGATTTTATACCAACTGAAAAAGATACTCTTTGAGATTTGCTTATTAAAATGATTTAAAAGTTAATAAAAGGAGAATTTAAAGGAAGCTGCTTTTTACAGAGGAAAGAATAGATTTTGGAGACACCTGGGGTTGGAACCTGGGTTCTCTGTATAGTAGTATGATATTAATATAATCTCCTTAAGCCTCTATTTCCATGTCTCTAGGATGGGGCTCTGCAGAGTTGTGGGGACAATTAAATAAGATAATTATACAAAGAGGATTGCACTTTGTTGTTCAATATTCATTGAGTTAGCATTACTATGAAAACACTAACACCCCAAACACAGAGTACAGTATTCTGTGCTGTACCTGAAAGCATTTCTTCCTTCGTGGAAATATGGAGCTTTCTATTGGATGGAGATGGTAAGGAAAATGGGAAGCATCTTTTACAAAGATGAGAAGCCAATGCATTGACTGAATGAAGAAACAAATGGCTAGTAATTCATGGAAGAAAAGCTTGCCAAGAACATCCCAAGAAGAAGATTTTAATTGGAAAAACATTATACTTAATTAGCATCTTGGTACCATGAACTATTTTAATCCATTTCAATACATGATTAATAATTTTAGAGGTTGCCCAAACACATCAGATAATTAAAGAGAATTTTTCCTTTCGGTTTTACTTCTGGAGAGCTAACCTTATAGACTTTGTGTTAGGTAAACAGTAAAAAAAAAAATCACTTACCAAGGATTAATATAAAATGCCAAAAGATAATCAGTCCAAAGACATGAGGGTAGCAGGGTTAAGAAAGCAAATATACTCCTACGCCTGTGAGCATTAATAGATATAACATATGTAAAGATGAAAAAGTGGCAAGAGTTAGTAACATAAACTGTGAACAGATATCAGTAAATTACCTACTGGGATCAATTAAAATGACAAGCATCTTAATTACAATTACATATTATTCCATTTTGTGAAATTGAAACGCGAAGGCTTACGTGCTATCATATTGCCAACACCAGTTTTCTTCGCACACATACATATTATAATCAGATATATTCCTTTCAACTTATTTTGTGTCGATTAGTCTGCTATTAAGTGATTACATTTTACATTCAGTTAAATGAGGCTCTTAAATGCCTCATTAGTTGTCTCCAGTCTTATTCTTGGATATTATTACCTTTGCCATGCTTGAACCTATTTTAAGGAACCATTATAACATCATTCGGTCGCTAACAGCGGCTTGTGTAAGGAAATATCAACAAACGGTCAATTTCTGCCTATACCAATTCTGGTCAAGGCCCCAAGCTTCTGGGACGCATTCTTACAAAGCTGCACTCCTAGGTGTGACTTTCTATATTACTTCTAGTTTAAGTTAATACACCATCGCTGAAAAATAACCCTTAAAACAGAGCTATGGAAGGACGCTCAGGTATCAATGATTCAAGACAAGTAGCTCATGAAACTGCCTGGTCCATAATCTGACTAATACTGACCTGAGTGGGAGCAAAATTATTGCATTGTACTTTACTTCTAATTCAGTCTGCTGATTTAAAAAGCGTGGTGTGAATGCAATTTCAGGTATTCAAACCACATGCAAAATAGAACATTCATTAACGTAGATTTTAAAATGTCCTACGGCTGTGTCTATAGCTACATTGAGAACTAGGAGGGGAAATGCTGTCACCTTGTCACTTTAATTACTACAAGTTCCCAGGGATATATCTGCTCTGTCAGCCAGAACATGCTGGTGTTGGCAAAACCATCTTTGCCAAGAGCAGGAGAATTCTCTAGATTTTTCTAGAAAGGTCTTGAAGTGAATTCTCTTTTGCCTTAGCTCTCCCATAACTGACGTCCCATAGTCTATCAGTTGTGACTGATTGTGCAATTAGTCAATACATAGCTGTCCTGAGTCCCAGGTATAATTGGATCAGTTCCTAGATGGGCTATTCTTCACTGCTTTGTGACTGGGCCTTGTTAAAGGGCGAGCCAGACAAGAAACAAAGATCAGTGAATTAGTCTCTTAATCTTGGCAAGAGTGTTAATATATCTGCACAAACCTAGAAATGTTTACTAACTTTCCACCGTTGAGGGGTTATGGGTTTTCTTTCTTCACAGTTGGATTAATTGTAGTTTAATAGCAAAATTCCATTCAGGCTAAAATTTAAAAATAGTACAACATATTGTCTTATTGACAAGAATCCTATTTCAACTTTCCACTGCTAGATGCCCACTCAGGGAAGCCGAAGTTATATTCCAATTAAAGCCCTCCCTCCCTCATTGATTCTGTAAAGTTTCTAGTCTCACCTATCTATTTCTTGAAGATCACCATTTTGGGGGATTAGGAAAACAAGAAGAAGAAAAAAAAGACCATTTACCAAGGATTAACATGAAATGTATACATTTAAATAAATGTGCTTTGCACTGTGGCTTGCAAAAGAAACAAACCTGATCATGTAAGCAGTGCCGGCTTTGTATTAAATGATTACTTCATTAGCAATTTTGTTGGGCATCCATTGGGGCCGATAGCATTGTTAATTCTCATGGATCAGTGTTAAGGTATAATGTCAAACAATTTAATCTCCTGACAATGCTTTCTCAATTCTCCAAATACCTCCTCCCTCTAGGTCCTGAAGACTCAAGCATGGGGTAAAGAATAAGGCCAGGTTTTCCCATGGGACCTCACTGCCTTTGATATTTATTTACCTGTAAGTTTAAGAGCTGAGAGGCCTGGGCTGAATACGTCTACTCGATTCTGAACAGAAGTGGGGCTCATAGTCTCAGGCACTGAAATGTCAGTTTGAAATAGAGATGCTTCTCTCTCTCCTGCTGCTTCGCTGGGGTCTGTCCTGTCCCTTCGCCACCACTTACGCGTTCAATGTGAGTCCTGCTTTGAAGCCCTTCTTCAGCACGATTTGGGGCTACATCCATGCCTGTGTTAGTCCTTTGTTTAATATAATAACTACTCAGCCGACTAAGACGTTTTCTCTACTTCGTAACTGTAGTAAACCTATATAAACTAATACATTCAGTGAAGAAAACCTAACCAATCTCACCAAAATTGCGAAAGGACAATCAGACAAAACCATGTATCCCCCAAAGAGAGTAAAATAAAGTTTGGAGCACACACACAGCATAGATAAGCTCTCTAGAGCCTTGTTCCAAAGTAATGCTCACCAGTTGTATGGAAGCTTTCCATCCCTCTCCAAAGAAGCGAAATTGACAAAAGTTCCTGCTCCGCATTCCCTGTTTGAAAGGAAACACAAAATCAAGGTTACTGCTTGATGGAGCATTCTTTTACCTTGATATAAAAGAAAGCCTTTACTGGCTTATCATCACAGCATTAAATTAAAAAAAAAAAAGCTAATATAAGTTCCACGTGTTCCTCTTTCACATGCAGTACAAAATAGAAAGATAAAAAAGTTTTTCATAAGGTTGCACATGCTCTAATCAAGTTATTTGAAGCCAAGAGGATTTGGTTTACAATCTTTTCCAAAGGGCACTCGTGATTCTAACATAAATCTTTGAACTATTTGGGGTATAGTATTTTTCACAAAGCCTCCTAGCCTGAGGGTTTTCTGTTTTTAACACATATTCTTTGTGGGGTTGTTTTACAAGCATTTTGATTTCCTCTCTAAAATGATGGTGGATCAATTTGGATTATTTTCTTCCTCCAAAGTTTTCCCCTCATGTCGGGATGCCCATGTGATTTATCACTTGAGATGAGAGTCAAAAGACTGAGACATATTGAAACAGATTGGCTTAGCAGTGCCTCTTATCGAAAAGGTTGCCTATTAACCTGTCAGTGGAAAATATTGTTGAAGTTTTTTTTTTTTTCCAGAAGTGGAAGACAAAGGTAAACATATTCTCATGCCTTCTGCACCTTTACCTAATGTCATGGATAAACAACACAGCTCATGGGGGGGTTCATGCATCTCATTTCCCCCCTAGATGAAATTGATGGACTTATTCAGAATTGAAGCAGAGATTTTGACATTATTGGCACATCTGCTAATAACTTTGGCGGTCTTCCTGTTCTTATTACTGTGTTCTAAGAACAGTTTTCTTCTTTGAAAAATACACTAATATATTGTTATATCATGCTGTGTTATAAATTACACATCATCAATTAATTTTCCTCTGTCAATTTCCCATATATAGGATTTATTTTACCCTGTAATTCCAGGGTTCTTACCTGGGGTTCAAGGATAGAATTTAGAGCTCTGTGAACACGGTGGGGGGAAAGTACTCTTGTTTTCACAACCTCTAACTGAAATTTAGCAATTTTTTAAATTATTAAAGTAGGCAACAAGCCACAATAATATCATCAGTACTGGCAAGATTGCTAACCACAGAAACTGCAGATGTTTTTCTATAATGAACCTGCTGCAGATATTGAAGTATTGTTCATATTCATCACTCTGATGAAATTATGAGAGTTATTAGACACCCTACTAAATATTATCTAATATATTAATAAAGAAGGATGTAATGCATTTTTTTAAATACTCTGATTACCATGTTTTCATATAATTCATTTCTTTTTAATCTTCTGTATTTTATTTTTTGCACTTAAAAAGAAAGCATTATTCTTGGAAGAGATCCACAGGCTTAATCAGATTGCCAGAAAGGATCATGGCACAAAAAATGTGAAGAATCTCTGCTCTAATGGTCAGCTGGCTGAAGTAGAACCACCTCTCCTAAGCATCTTGCTGTACGTACCACAAAGAATGCTCCTGGAATGGTACCCGTACCATTCCACCCCCTCCACTATTACTATTATGAGCTAACATTTGTTTCATGCTTCCCAATTATGGCATTATTGCTCCTAACCATCCACTAATGTCGGGGCTAGTCTCATTTCTTCTCAATATACATTCTTTCCCTTGCTTCCAGGCTAGACACTTTCTTAGTTTTTCGTGCACTCCGCTGGATGCCTCTGGCCAGTTTCCTTTGCTCTTATCGTTTTTTTTTTTCCGCCCTGAATATCTTAATATTAGATTGTTCTGGTGCTTAATGCAGGGCCCTCTTCTCTCATTTACTCGCTCTCCCTCCAGTAAAGGAGAATTTCATCCAGTCTATCGCTTTAATACCACGTATATGCTAACAACTCCCAAACTTATATCTTCAGTCCAGACTTCGCTCCTGAACACCGGACTTTTATGTTCAATTGCCTACTCCACACCTGCACTTGCAGTCATCTCAAACATAACATTTCCGAGACTGAAGTCTTGACGCTCCCCCAACTCTGAAATCTTCATCTGGAATTCTATTCCCATTGGTGGCAACTCCATCCTTTCAGTTGCTAGGACCAAAACCCTTGGAGTCATCTGTGACCCTTATTCATTTCCACTTCAAGTGCGATCGGTTAGCAAATCCCCTTAGCAAATGCCTCTATTTTCAAAATATATCCAGAATCTGACCATTTCTCCCCACCTTTATTGCTGCAACCTTGGACTAAACCACTACCATCTCTTGCCTGGGTTACTGTAATGGCTGCCCCCATTAATATGCCTGCTTCACCTCAATACAGACTGTTTTCTAATGTAAGTCGTCTCTTCTGCCCCAAGTCCTGCAATGGCTTGACTCAGAATAAAATCAAGAGTCTTCACAACAGCTTACAAAGCTCTATGTGATCTGACATCATCTCCTACTGCTCCTCCCTTCATTTCCTCTGTGTTAGCTGCACTAACCTTCCTGCTACTGTTTGAACATGTTCCTGCCTCAGGGCCTTTGCACTGGCTCTTCCCTCTACTGGGCATACTCTTCTGCCAGAAAACAAATGGCTAACTCCATCATATCCTTCACATCTTTTCTCAAGTATTATCTTTTCAGTGAGATCTATCCACCTCCCAGAGCTCCTGTCCATATAACCCGCACACCTGTACTGCTAATTTCCCTTACTCTGTTCTCTTGTTTTTTTCTTACTGTCTGCTCACATACAATGCTGTTTTTATTGTCTATCTCCTCCCCTAGAATACGAGCTCCATGAAGGCAGAAATTCTTGTCTATTTTATATACTATCATATCTCAAGCATCTGGAAGAGTCTGACACATATCAGGTGTCCATTAATATTTATCAAAATATCCATTAATATTTATTCATATTAGTGAATGAAGTTTCAGTAAACTGCACAAAGTCACACAGATTATAAATTAGGATTTGATCCCAAGGAGTGTAATTTCAGAGCTCCCTATGCTAGTCACAATGCAGTACCACCTTCCTCCCTATCCTTCTAAGATTTGTTTAAATGCCAACAGTCATAAAGCTTGATTTTTACATTCAGAACTAATCTCTTTTCTCTACTTTCATGGAATCTCATTTTTATCTCCTTTCTGGGGCAGGGCAGTTTATACCTTTAAATATATTTCTTTATGTGCATATCTCCAGCTACATTCTAATTTCCTAGTGGACAGCTTGGGTGTCTGATTTTTATTTAATTGTGCCAGATACGACACTGATTAGATCACTATTGGATGGATAAATTTATTTATGACTAGGCAACTGACAGAACTCTGAGAAAGAAGAAGGATGTTGATTGACAATTCAGCAGGCTAACATTGGGTAAATATAAATTTGAGCCAGATTTCCCAAACCCAGCAGTATTCAACAAGGCAACAATTTTTAAGAGAATTGATGGATTGTTTTGATAATATAGGGGACCACTGAAAGTACTTGAGAATGTGCTTTGATAAAAAATGCATCAGTGGTCAAAGGAATAGGGAATTACCAAAATCATAAATCAAAAGTTTTTTCTAGCTGCAAGAAAAATGAAAACTGCCTGAATTCTGAGTAGTAGAAACAAAACTAATAGGGTACCTCAAATGGACCTAATCATAAACTCTACAAATGTTTCCTGATAAAACAGCTTTGGCAGAACTGAAGAGGAGAGGGACTTTTTTTCTTTTGTGTGGTCTCTCCTTACATTCACTCTTTTCATTAGTCATACTGAGTAGCCAGAAATCTTTATTTTACTCCAAAGTACGTTTGAAAGTATCCGAATGTCATTAATGGATTCCTTTGTGTGGGTTTCTTAAAATGACAAGACTGATAGTAAGAGGTCTGGATTTGTGTAAACCATCCTTTGCTTTGTCATTTCAGTGGTCATGTTTTCTAAAATAACATTTAAAAGTCTACTTAGAAAACACACAAAACAGACACTGAAAACCGAAATCAAACTTACGGCTGTACAATTTAAATATTAAATTAAAACATTTTAATATTATTAAAATAATTATAAATTACATTTACAAATTAAAGTATAAATTAAAATACTTTAAAAGCCCTGCTATACAATTTTGGTCTGCAAAAGCAGACCTATAGGATAAATTAAAATATTTTAAGGCCCTTGGGTAAAAGATCAACCAAACTGAACTTACCTTGCCATCTGGAGGTGCTTTTTCCTCAGAATGATAAGGGTCACGAGCAGCAGTCCAATTAACAGTGTACTGAGGATGGCCAGTACTGAGATGACTACCACATTGGGGTTCATCTCTGTAACTGCAGAGAAAAGCCATGCATTTTCATTATAACTTCCATTACACAAAACTAACAGAACCACTCATCATTTCCCATTGATTTTTAACAGCACTGAACGTATAATGATGACAATAACAGCGACAATAATGTTTCTCCAAGCCGACAATGACCTCCTGCTGGTCAAACACAACCTAGTAAAGTAGACTGATAAATGGCGTTCAGGTGCCTAGCAGAATTGTGTCCATCAGGAGGGCTTACATTCAGAATGTCCTTATCCAGGAGAACTATACACTGTGAATAATGCCTGGACCATAGTTTAAATTCCTTTGAAAATAAAAAAAATCTAGAAGTCATCATCATGTATTATTACTGTTTAAGGTTTTCAGAAGTTTAGAGAGTGGCAGGTTTTCATTTTACGCCCATGACTTTAAAGGCAGAAAGTACAACTGTATATTTCGCTCATACCTAATACTGTATATGAAAAAGGCATTAGCAAGCTACCATCTGCTGCAGTACTTAGCACGTCGCTAGAAGCAGGCCTTCTGATGATCTGTAACCATATGTCGAGAGGTTTTCCATCTGCACAGCTCAAGAGATTAAACCTATTAATAAGTCGTGGGGCCTTTAAGAACAGGGGCTGTGTCCCTTCCTTGTACTTTATATGGGGACTGCTATGGCACATGCACATTAAAAGTGGGAATATATATCAAATGTTTTTATGAAACTCTTAACCAGAGACCGACTAGAGCAGGGGAGAATGATACACCATCCTCTGCATTGATCATAAAATCACAGAACTGGCCGGCGCGTTCAATCCCTAAGACTCTGTGCATTTGCCACTTCCCATTTGGACCAGCATGACTCCTATTCATGGGCAGAGTAACTGAACAGAAAGAACATTAGACTTAGGGTCAGAAGACCTTCAAGTTCATTTGATTACTAACTGCCATTTGGAGAAGCTATTTTATCTGTCTCTCTGGGCTTCATTTTCCTCACTTGTAAATAAGTTGAATACTATACCTGTTTCAGCAGGTTGCCGTAGCAATGACAAGGAATAGTGAACAGGAAGGGCTACTTGGAATGGTGTACAGGCCATAGAACTGAGACACCATTAATATACTTTGCGGGTCCATTTTTGGTGCCCTCTTCCGGAAAAATAAAAATTTAAAACAGAAAAAAAACAAAAGGCCCCTCTAGTCAACACTGAATAGAGTGGCTACATATACGATGAATGCAACAGAAATGAAAATGCACCCAGTAAAGGGATCACGTGACACTGCGAATGGTTGTATTACAGGTGGCTTCGTGGAGGGTCTCAGACTGCAGGATCAGCCTCCAAGAAACAGGGCAGTAACACATATAACTCAGAAGGAAAAAAAAAAAAAAGGAAGCACCATTATTCTAGAGCTTCCATTAATTTCTAATCTCCCCCCTTATAGTTTGGCTTCATTGGGAACTTCCCCGCTTTGACCCAGGAATTTAGTATTGTTGTTGCTTGACCAGGGACGGCTAAGAGCCAAGGTGACAACAGACGAGCCCGGGTGGATCAGGGTACTGTGGCCACCGCTGTGACTCACATGGCGTGTGTTAGGGCTTCAGGCACTTCATTTCTATGCCTCATAACAGCTCAACAGGGGACGTATATTATGATTCCAGTTTTGCAGATGAGAAAACAGAGGTTCAGAGATGGTAAATATCTTTCTCTCAATCACATAGCTAGTAAGGGCAGTGAAGGGCTCCCCCCCCCCCCCCCCCCCGGCAGAGCCTGGAATGTTTCAGTGGAACATGGTTCTCTTAAAAGGAGAGAGTACATATATTTGAAAGGAAAACAGAAGGAGAATCGAGAATGCTAAACCTTCCAAAGACACCGGATTCCATGAACGCAGGTAATTACCCATTGTTGAGACGGCTATGAACGTGGGGACACTGGGGCTGTCGTGGCTGAAGCTGGTGACACTACAGTTGTAAGCAGTGGCAGGAAGGAGGCTGGAGATGGTCACAACGTGAGAGGAAACAGAAATCGGCTCCTGGAGACGCAGAACATAAGACAGATGTCATATTACCTTCATCTGTTTTGTGTTTTTTTTAAGGCTATTTTTCAGAGTTGAGTGGGGAATACACAGAGTAAAACATTTAAAAGATGCGAGAGGATAACAGTGAAAAATAAGTTTCCTTCTTTCCCTACTTTCTATCTATCCAGTTCTCTTCCAGGGAAGGAGCCATTGTTGTCAGGGATTATTTTTTTTTTCCTTCCGATCTGTATTTTATGGATGTGAAAACATAAGATACAGCTAAGCAAAACTTAAGTGATAACATGGTTTACACATCATGTTGCTTATGTTTTACTTGGTTATCAGTATATTTTGGTGCTCTTCTCATATCAGCACAGAAAAAGCTGATTTATTCTTCCTAAGGGCTGTGTAGAAATTCACTGAAAGGACCTACTTTAACCAGTCCTCTACTGAGGAATGTTTCAGTTGTCTCCGATTTTTTTTTTTAAGATTTTTATTTATTTATTCGACAGAGAGAGACACAGCGAGAGAGGGAACACAAGCAGGGGGAGGGGGAGAGGGAGAAGCAAGCTTCCCACGGAGCAGGGAGCCCGATGCGGGGCTCGATCCCAGGACCCTGGGACCATGACCTGAGCCGAAGGCAGATGCTTAATGACTGAGCCACCCAGGTGCCCCCAAGAGTTAACCGGTTTTATCAGTTTTACAGTCCCACTAGAATACAGTTCTCACAAAGGCAGACATTTGATCATGCGTGCAGTAGCTCCAATGCTGAAAACAATGAGAGAATGCTCAGTGAGTATCAGCTGTAGGGATAAAGTGAGGCATCTTTTCCTCAAGGAAAATACAAGCAACCCCTGTTTATTTTACACATCTTTGTTCTTAAAAGTCTTCAGCCACCCAGGTGCCCCTGTTGTCTCTGATTTTTTGCTATTGCAAACAATGCTACAGCGAACAAAATTTTAAATTATGGGAACAAACATATACGGACACACACTCACTTAATACATGTATGTGTGTATGCATGTATACACATACATACTTATACACAAAACCTGTGTGTGTGTGTTCAAATGCGTGAAGGTAAATGCATATATGGATACTCATATTTCCAGCAGCTGAATGGTGGGTCCAAAAGTTGAGTATTTTTCAAAATTTTGAAAGTGACTGACAAATTGTCCTCTTTTAAATTTTTCATTTTTTAAAGTTTTTTTTATTTATTTGAGATAGAAAGAGAGCATGACTGGTGGGGGGAGAGGCAGAGGGAGAGGCAGGCTCCCCACTGAGCAGGGAGCCCGAAGTGGGGCTCAATCTCAGGAACCCGGGATCATGACTTGAGCCAAAGGCAGACACTTAATCCACTGAGTCACCCAGGTGCCCCAACAAATTGTCTTCTATAGACATTTTCCAAGTTATCCTGCTGCCCTCAGTGTGTGACAACATCTCTTCTCCTACACTCCTTCCAATCCAATATATTTGTAAACTCTTTGAGTTTTTCCAATCTTATTAATGGAATTTCACCTCATTGTAGATTCATTTTGCATTTCTTTTACTGTGAGTGAACTTGATCATCTTTTCGTATGTTTAAGTGTCTTTTGTGTTTATTTTTATTTATTTATTTATTTATTTATTTATTTTTAAAGATTTTAGTTATTTATTTGCCAGAGAGAGAGAGTATAAGCAGGGGGAGTGGCAAGGAGAGGGAGAAGTAGACTCCCTGCTGAAGAAGGAGCCTGATGCGGGACTCGATCCCAGGATCCTGGGGTTGTGACCTGAGCCGAAGGCAGACGCTTGACTATCTGAGCCACCCAGGCATCCCTTGTGTTTATTTTCTATGAAATATTTGTTTTGGGCTATTGGTCTTCATTTTTTTCTATTTGTAGTTGTTCTTTGTATATTAAGGACACTACCCCCTTTGTCTGCATTCTCAGCTTTTAAATCACATCCACCCAAGGCACAAGCAACTTTGTGTTCTCAAAACCATTTAATATTAACCTATCCTTGAGTAGAACAAATTGTTAATTTGGTGGGCCGGTGGTTAGACCAGTGGTAAGTACCACAGTACAATATAAAAATATGAGCCAGCATAACATTCTTTTTCAAAACAGGTATCTGAAGCACTCCTGCCTAAAGAGATGAGAGCCGTCAGCACTTATTTCCAATTCCACCTCTTTTCACTGTTCTATAAAAGAATGATTCTAAGGAAAGACTTCTGCTAGCAAGACTGTTATAGTAAGTAGCTGCATAACCATTGTTTTCTTAGGGGGAGGGATTACTATAGGTGCAGAGAAGAAAATCTGCTACCTGCAAAATAGTTATTTCCAAAAAGGATTCTTAGAATAGAAAAAGAAAAAAGATGAGCTCTTCAGTATAGATCAAAAAGAGATACATTTGTACAAGAGAACATCAAAAGGAGAAAGAAATCAAAGCAAATTATCTTAACACTCGTATGAAAAGATTCCTACTCCCAGAAATCCTTTCTTCTTTTCAATCTCATGAACTGCATTATTTAAAAAGCATCAATTATTCATGTGCATAGAATTAGTCTGTACACTGCATTTTGTGACATCCCTCACAAACTTGACCTTTCCCTTCCATGTCTGGCTGTAAAATATTTCTTTTCTTGTGGTTTTGTTACCCTTGGAGCTACTGGTTCATCTCCCTCCTTCCCTTCAGTTTGACCCAGTGAATAACTCAGCAGTCATTTTTATCACACATAGAACCCTCCACATAGCTGGCAATCAGTTCATATTTGTTAAGTTATATTTTATATGACAGTGTCTATTCCTTTGATCGACTTAATGGCAATAGGAAAAATGAACCCCTTCCAGTCCTCAGTATGACCCAGGGTGACAAAGGATTAGGGACAAAAGATACATGCAAAGATGAAAATCAACTTGGCAATTTGGCAAATTGGTTCTTATATTTAAGGCTTGCTCTAAGCCGACTGCTAATTTCTATCCTTGAAACACAAAAGTGCAAGTGAACTTTTGTTTTCATTTTCTGTAGTTTAAACAAATAAAAGACTTTAATTTACTTAGATTATTAGCCTTAATCAAAATGAACTCAGACAAGGACAGTCAAAAAGCAAAGTACCTGGAGTTTTGTTTCTTGACTCGAGCCAACTGGTTGACAGAAGACTTCAAAGAAATCAGCTATTCCCTCTTCCACCCACAGCAAAGTCACCGAAGTCTGGGTTTTATTCACGGCAAACAGTGATTTTGGGGGAGCTGGTTCTGAGCAAAGGCAGAGTTTTAAAAAATTTCATTTAATTTAATACATTCTCTCTTCTTCCCCCGAGTGGCAGGATAAAACAGGCAAAAAAAAAAAATTTCCAAATACAGGTAGTTAAGAGCACCATCGAAATGTTACATTATTGCTTTTGAAATACGTCCCCACACAGTTGTCATCTAACGTGGGAGGCAGACTATTTTGCCTTTTTCTCCCCCTTCCATTTTATACTTCCCTTTTTGGAACACTTCTGTTTTCTACTTCAGCTTTATTATATCCATAATCTATTAATAGATTTTGTGTCATCTGCACTGGAACTAGCCCTGCCCTGATAGGACAGAACTTTCTGCAGGAGAAACAAAAATTTGTACTTAGGGGGCTGAGAAAAATGAAAGTGATTTGCTCCCGTCCAATGGAGACATTCAGTCTGGTACTTAGCCAAGAACCTGTCTTCCTTTTCTGGAGACTATTTGGAATAGTTTAGTCCGAGGAATGGCTTCTTGAAAATTCAGTCGTAATTAGGAGGGGTAAAGCTAAATAGGTAGGATTTTTTTTAAATTTTTTTTAAGAAAAGGATTAATGGAAGGGGACTGGATGGTTAACAAAATATTAGAGGACTGATTTTTTTTATCTTCTTTTAGACATTTAATCTAGATCAATAAATTAATCCATTAGTCAAGTAAACTGTGCCCCTTCATACTCATTTCCAGTAAGTGAGTCACGGGATTTGTTGGCTTCAGACCAAACCCCTACTTGTTCCCCAGTTTTAGGAAGTGGTCTTGTGTCTTGTTCTCCCATTCCTGAATCTCTCCTACCCTCCTCCCTGTCATTTGGGTGTTGTCTTTCCCTTGAATTCCTCCAGTACACAAAGCCCTATGCCTGAACCCCAGGGCTTCAGTCAGAGTCCCTGCTACCCTCTGTCAGACGTCTTTGACATTGCTTATTTGAACATATTATAGCTAGCTATCAGGTTCACGGAACATCAGACTCTGCCCGCGTGCGTGTCCCTGTCGGACAACTATGCATGCTGTGTGCTTGTTACTTGGATTTCTTTTTATTATTTGTCCCATGCTCCGAAGTCTGTTCTCTAGCTCCTGGATTTTAGCAGTGCTTCAAGAAGCCCCTGAAGGCTTTGACATGGCTATGATCTTTGCGTGGGAAGGTTTGGACCTTCTTTCTAGAATATCATCATCATGGCCCTATTCAGAACCAGGCAGTATGTCAGAACTGTCCTTCATGTGATTTATCACAGGCAACTTAAATTTGTGTCCAACTAAAAAGAAGCCATTTTCTTTCCAGAGACAATTCGGCAAGGTTGGGCAGAAGAGTTGAAGGAGGAAGGGGGGCATTCAACTTGTGCAGGCGTAATTCACAACAGATGTCAGGACCCCTTTGTCATTTGCAATGAATCGTCCACTCCCCCAAACGTTGTAATGTTGTACTGTCTCACTTCCCCTCTGATGAAAACTGTTGATGAAACACGGGGTCAGCTTCCACTGCCCACATCCTTTATAACTACCACTGTGAATAGGTATGAGTCAGAGGGTAGGTCCTCCAGTGATTCTGACTGGTGCAGAGCTTGAATCTTTGGAGGCAAGTGTGAGGTTGTCTGGGGCAGAGATGGATGATTTTTAGGCTAAACCTTGGTTTTTTCTCTTTACAAAACACACATGAAAGAAACTGCTCCTCACAGTGAGTCTCCTGCACTGATTAGATTCCTTAGGACAGCTATGTATTTTTTTCTTTAGATTTTTTTATTGTTATGTTAATCACCATACATTACATCATTAGTTCTGGATGTAGTGTTCCATGATTCATTGTTTGTGCATAACACCCAGTGCTCCACGCAGAACGTGCCCTCTTTAATACCCATCACCAGGCTAACCCATCCCCCCACCCCCCTCCCCTCTAGAACCTTCAGTTTGTTTCTCAGAGTCCATCGTCTCTCATGGTTCGTCTCCCCCTCCAGTCTCCCCCCCTTCATTCTTCCCCCCCTGCTATCTTCTTCTTTTAGGACAGCTATGTATTTTTTTTTCCTAATGGGTAGATAAACTCAGGTTAGCTCTCCAACATGAACATTGCCCAAGTCCTGATCTCCAGCTCCAACTTTTGACACATGTCTTTCCAATCACCGACCCTCCGTGTTTCCTCATGAGCACCCCCATTCGTTCCCTTGTCCGGGCTGACAAGCTTGAGGCTCTTCTCTGGCTTCTCAAGTGCCAGAGAGCATATCTTTAAAGAATTCGTGTCATCTCTTCATTGTGTCTATTCTTTTTATTATATTGCATGTTCAGGCTTTTGTCATCACACTTTATCAATGATTACAACAGCCTCTTCATTCTTTTTTCCTGCTCTTAATCAGTTCTTTCTTCATTTGTCAGTGAGGGCTTAAATCATCCTGAAACACCACTTTGCTCACAGTAAGTCTTATCTGTGTAATCATCTATTGTGATCAACGACTATTACATCAAATCCAAATATGCCAAGTGTTAAAGATTCTACTTACATCGGCCACATATTACCCATCCAGCTTCACCACCATCCCTCCCACACGGAAATGCTTCCCCTGGTAAAGCCAGTTTTCTCACTGACTATCATACAAGCCGTACTCTTTCTCAACTCAGTGTACTTTTTCTTCTACTTGGATCATCCTAAGATCAGGAAAAAGTCTTCTTCTCCCCGAAACCTTATCTGTTGACTCTCTCTCGATGATCTATCCCTCCTCTGACCTTCTATTACCCTATTTGATCTATGTGAGTAAAGTCCTGATTCTCCTAGGTCCTACTAAATGCTTTAAGAACAGGGGCCATATGTTATAAATTATTTTGTTTTCACCTTGAACTAGCCACCTGCAATTGTTCAATAAATCTTCTCTATTGGCTGATTTAAACCATAAGTCAAGATTCATTAATCAGAGGTATTAGGATCTAAGCACCAGGCAAGACCAGACACATTGGGGCTACATTTTGATGCTCTCTGTCTTTTTAAAGTGATCATATTGGTAAAATTATCAGCTTCGGTGGCAGAGACAAAGACTGTCATGAATTACAAGTGTTTTCAGTGGTCCAAACAGTATGACTTGAATACTGGAGTAGCGGTTTCTTTGGGTCTCACTAAAAATGTGGATCTAGGTGATAAGCAGGATCCTCAGGAAAATCTCCAAAGGGCCTGGGACCTTTGAGCAGCCATGTAATAAAATTTTCTTTTCAGGTGGTATATAGGGGCAATAGATTATTCCAAGGTCACTCTATCCATTATCACTGTATCCTTTTCTGGAAGACATATGCATATGAGCTCTGTAGGTCAATGAACAACATACACAGATCGCCTGCTTGAGGACTGTTTAGGATCTCTGTGACAGGTATATTTCCTTAGATGTACTGGAGAGAAATTTCACCAGCTATTCCAAAGGAAACAAAGAAAGTCATTGCAATATTTCAGAAGTGGAGGTGTAATTGGATTGGAAAGAGCTTCTAATTAAATTTCACTACTCAAGACAACATCTGCCCCAGGAAACGTATTAAAATTTTAGAACTGTACTCTCCAACACAGTAGCTATTAGCCACATGTAGCTACTGAGTACTTGAAATGTGGCTAGTCAACATTGAGAGGAGCTGCAAGAGGGAAATATGGATTGAATTTTGAAGACTTAGTATAAAATAAGAATAAAGATATTTCATTTATAATTCTTTATATCAATTCCATGTTAGGATGGCACTATGTTGATATATTTGGTTAAATAAGATATATTAAACTCAATGTCACCTATCTCTTTTTAGTATTTTGTAATGTGGCTATTAGAAAATTTAAAATTACATCTTTGGCTCTCATTATATTTCAGTTATGGAGTACAGGGCTAGAACATTCCTTACTGTTTGGTAGAGCAGAAGTGTGGAAATTCTTGGCAGAAGCTGGTTGGAGTTTCTCCCCTTCTGTTATCTAGCTCCTCTCATAAGAAGGCAAAGTCAGCTAAACTCCATAGCCTAACATGACTTAGATGATTCCTCTTTCCCATCCTCGGGCACAAAACCAAAAGGGAGTAGTGGCTAAATATTTTTTTTTTAAGATTTCATTTATTTATTTGACAGAGAGAGAGAGAGAGAGCGAGCACAAGCAGGGTGTGCAGCAGAGGGAGAGGGAGAAGCAGACTCTCCGCTGAGCAGGGAGCCTGATGCAGGGCTTGATCCCAGGACCCTGGGATCATAACCTGAGTCGAAGGCAGACGCTTAACAACTGAGCCACTCAGGTGCCCCAGTAGTGTCTAAATATTGTTCAGGCAATTTTATATGATTATGAATACAATGACATGGAAAAGCCTTTTTATTGGTTTCTATCTCTGTTGTGGGTTGAATTGTGTTCACCCAAATTCCTAGGTTGAAGTCCTAAGCCCCAGTACCTCAAAAATGTGCATGTGGTTGGAAATAGGGCCTTTGGGGAGGTAAGTTAAAATGAGGCCCTTAGGGTGGACCTCAATCCAATCTGACCGGTGTTCTTATAAGAACAGGAAATTTGGGCAGACAAGGAGAAACCAAAGACAAATGGGAAGAGACGAACCATGTGAGGGCACAGCTGGAAGGTGAGGTCACCTGTAAGCCCGGGAGAAAGGCCTCCGAGAAAACAAACCTGCTGATACCTGCATCTTGGACTTTTCACCTCCGGAACTCTGAGAAAATAAGTTTCTGTCGATTAAGCCACCCAATCTGTGATATTTTGTCATGGCAGCTCTAGCAAACGAATATAGTTCTCTTACTCTTCAAAACATCAAATCCAGTCCAGTTCATAAAAGGGAGCAAGAGGAAGGCCTTAATGATGTTATGAAGAGCAAACGAGCTTTAAGATAACATACACAAAAACATTTTCTAGAATATAAAGAGCCAGGCAGACATTAGTTATAGAACATCCCCTGGCTAGCACTTCCTACTTCTCAAAATGACATTTTAAACCTTAGCTTCTTCAAAATTCCCTGGCTTCATAATGTCAGATTTCCTTTCATTTAAAATCACTT